TTGTGATCTGTAGTCTCTCTGATAGTCATAATTCCACACAGGAAATCCCCAAGATTCCCTTTCCACACGCAGACCTGGATTTGACAAAATATATGAACATGTGCTTTACTTTATGCATGGAAGTCATTCCACTGGTATGTCTTGCCTACTTTGAGATGACAGGGACAGCGGTAGAAAATTCATAGCTCTTGGATTGCTAGTCCTGCCTGAGCTAAAAAGAGGATAGATGAAATGTTCCCTGAAAGAAAAAAATAGATGTGGTTCGTCAGTAAAACACCCCATTCCAGGAAGCTGGAAAAATCTGAAATTCCTGGAGGAATACCCATCCCCATATTAGCATGTACGTTGACAGATGGCACAGCTTCATATGAATAGGAATTTTAAGTTGTTGTCTTTGAGTTGAAAAGATAAACCCTAGGCAGATTTTGTAGACCAGCTGGTCCTTCATGGACTGGTGCTTGTGGGGATTTCTTCTTTAAGACGCTGGGACAGTGGTAGCTGTGAGCACCCCAGAGAGCACAGAACCTCTCATTCCCTTTAGTAGTTTTCTCTGGAAAAAGCACGAAGTAGCAGCAGCTTGCTCCATGCTCACCAGACTGGCTGGAGATTTTATAAAAAAAGAAAAACAAAGCAGCAAAAGGCCTTGGCTCAACAGCATTACTTTTAGACTGTCTCTTTGAAGTAACTACTCTTGAATCAGTTTATGAGCATCAGCCAAGACAAACACTCAGGTCCGTTTGGGAGTTTTGCTTCAGAGCAGCATATTAATACTCTGTAAGGAGATGCAGGGCATGTAGTGGATGTTTTCTTGATCAGCAGCTCTAACCATCCCAAATGTTGCTTGCTCATTGTTAGCACACCCTCCTGTCAGGGCTGCATCAGACACAGATGAGCTGTCTTACACAGTGCTTAGATTTAACCTGCAAAAAAACTGGGAGAACTGATCGTTTCCACCAGAAAATGCAACATGGGGGCTCTCAGAGACTGGCCTTGTCCCTGCCTGGCTTATACTATCTATACCAGCAGCAGCTGCTCCAGCTAATGTACCCCTCTTCTCTATAGCCTCCTTGGAAGCTAAACAAACCAAAAACTCCATTCACAGATGGTGGCCAATAAAAAGGACAGGTAGCAAAGGGACTTGCTGACTAGAGCAACCAATCTCAACAGTAACAGTATGTTTAGTTAGGAAAGCCCTTGTCTTTCTGCGCCCTTCACGTACTTTCTGTAAGTGTTAGGAGATGAGCCCTGACTCAGACTTGGCTCCTTATTCCTACAGCTGGCTTTTCAATGAGTAAACCCTTGCTCCTACCAAAAGAACTAGTTGCAGGGCTGGATTATCCATGTCAATTCTTTGCATTCAGGCACATACGTGATCCTACTTAATGTCTGTGCAACTGGCTGCATTTGCTTTTTTTACCTTTACTATCAAGAGTAGAAAATAAGAAGGACATGTCTCCTCACAGAATACGAGAGAAAAAAAAAAACTGGATACAGTAAAAAAATCTATTCAGTCAGAGACTGCCACCTTTTCTGTTGTTGCGCATGTAATACACAGGTAGCATCATAGTGCATTATATTACTTAATATAATAGTGATTGCCACACCACTGCCTGCAGCAGGAACTCCATGTATTAGGAACTTCAGGCTTCCCCCAAAACTATTTGGCATGGGCACATCCCTGTGGTGAATTCTGCAAGAAGCTAGGGCAATAGCAGCTCTGAGTACCTCGGAGATCTGTCCCAGTTCCCTTAACAATTCTCTCTGGTAAAGTTATGAATAAACAGCAGCTTGTTCTGTCTTGAACAAATGGAGCAAACTGTGATCCTCTGTTGCTGCTGCAGACCATTCATTCCAGGGTGCCTTTAGGAAGTGACTGTGCAAGGGAGAGCTCTGTGGCGGCTGCTTCAGAGTTACAAGTCAGTTACTGCACTGCTTGCTGTAGCTGAAGGTTAGCTGCAGCACCCACTGCTGGGTTAAGCGACACAAAGTTGGAGAAAACAGAGCAAATTTTACCAGCTTCAGTTCTGTGCTTAGTTCTGTTCTGCCACATTCTGCTGGGGTTTGTCGCTAAGGCAAGGACCCAACACCTTCAGTTTCCTGCTTACTTGTTGTCAGTCATGAAGCGTACAGCTCCCTCATCTTAGGGTACTCTTCAGATAGAAAGAAGTGATGTTTGGGCACAAATTCAAAATGAGACAAACAGCTTAAATGAAGGCTGGTTTGTGTTTTATTGCTCTGGAAATGGCAGCCAAATCTGTCTTCAGCAGAGATCTCATGAGCATTTAAGCTTGCCATTTCACATCTGGGAAAAACTAATATCACTTAGCATCTCATTTCTTTGTCTGTGTGACTTGACTGTTTAGAGGGAAGAGGATGATGATTGAGTTGTAGTGATGTTCACCCAGATGACAATGAAATCCTTTTGGACTTTTTCCACTGGCATTCCCATTGCTTGATAGGAGGACACAGGACACAAGGTCTGGCCAAGCAGAGGGCTGAGGTAACAACTTTTTGCCATGCTGGGAGACCCCCACATCAGAACATATTCTAGGCAAATTCAGGTTCAATCCCAAATATGCAACCTAAAGAGAAAGAGATTGTGCCCCCCAGTGTTGGTCCACATCAGTCCAAATGGTACCGAAAAGCCAATGGCAAGTTACACAAGGCATTCTGATGTTTCCAGACTCGAGGCACTGAACTGGTTCTCAACATCATCCAGCGTGTATATACTGCTGCAAGCGAGTCTTTTTGCTGTACCAGTTGTTTTCACAAGTTCATTCCTGTTATTCTTCCCTGTAAATCCCGTGGTTCTGTTTTTGAAAATGTTGTTTATTTTCCTGAATTATTTAATTAAAATAGCAGTTTAAGAGTTAGCACTATTTTTGGCATACAGGCCAGACTAGGACTTGAAACAGATTTATTCTTCTCACTGGTTATTCTTTCAACCTGAGGTTGTTGTCTGATCCTTAGTTGAGAAGACTTTATTAATACTCTACTGTTCTGGTCACAAGGAAAACTTCTTTTATATTCTCACTTTTACTATAGTGTAGTAGCTGGGGATTTAGTTTGGAAATTACAGAATCATAGAAAATTGGGCTGAGAGGGATCTCGTGAGATGGTCTAGTCCATTTCCCTGCCCCATGGCAGATCATACATTCCTAAACTGTTTCTAATGAAAGGTTCCCCTAACTTAATCCTAAAACCTCAAATTATAGAGGTTCCACAATCTCTTTAGGCAATCTGTTCCAATGTTTCACTATCCGGAGGATACATGTTTACCCTCAGTTGATTTTGTTTAATACTTTGTTGTGCAGCAAAACTTGAAAAGGAGATTGAACACAGGAAAGCAAGACACAGGGAGCAGAAAGGACCTCCAATGTCATCAAGTCCGATTTCTTGCTGTTAGAGGCAACCATGTCAGGTAAAGCCTTCCTTGTATATGTACAGAGCTCAATATTCGAACTGGTTGAACTTTTCCCCTAAATGCTCAAAACAAATTCTGCTGAGAATCTCATCTTTCTCAAAGTTAAGAATCTCCTGTAAAGTAGAACCATGAAATCAGAAGAACATTACAAAGCCTGTGAGATACATTTTTGGGTATATAACGTGCAGATAATATTTTTACAAAGTGCCAGAAAATTTACTTGCTAATAGACATGGCAAAGTCCCAAAAGTGAAAGGTAGATCCCTCCTGAAAATTACAATCTTTTCTGAAACAGATGATGATACTTCTAAATTTCCAAAGACAGTGTTTGAGATCTCACAAAAAAATAAAATCAGTCCTTCACCAGGACTGCACAAGATGCTCTTAACTTTCAGGAGAACTACGTCTGAGAAAAGATAGTAATATTGGGCTCAGGAAAGAAATGAAATTGTGACTCTTAGAAGAAGAAGTCCTAGAAAGTGTGGAAGAAGAAGAGAGGGGCTGGGTGGGAGTAAAGTCAACACAAAGTTAACAAGAAAAAGTAAGACCAAATTCAGTACAATTGGAGAGCAAAGTTTCTGAGCTAAGGATGAGGAAGATGTTAGGTTAGAGCTGAGAGCAGCTCTTAACTTCAGTGATCCCCTAAATGTTTAACATGAAGGACAAGCATGACTGTCAGACATGATTTTTCTCGTCTTTACTAATGCCATAACTGATGCTTCAGACCGTATTTGCCAACTCCAATGTATCAAGGTGTCCTTCCAGATATAACCCCATGTATCAAGGTATCACTGAAGACATGAAATGGCATGAAGTACCTGTGTTTAGGTATCTGGATTCCACTCCTTATGACACATCACTGAATTTAAACTCCAAAGAAGAAAGCCTCGTGTCATCTTAAATTATGTGAGGTCAGAATCTTTGTCCTTGTCCTGCAGCAGCTGTGCCAACTTAGTTGGAAGAGCTTGCAGGTTATAATCATACCCCATGGTGCACCTATGCTAGCAGAATGCCATGGCCCTATGGACAGGACAATACTTTCAGACAGGACCTACTGGGGTACTGAATATTATCAATGAAGTCTTAAATTCAAAACTAAAGTAACCCAAACTATCATTGAGATGTAGCCCTCCCAGAAGAAACTTTTTTTTTCCAAAGCTCATAACTCAAAATGCGTCATGCTTGATTAACTTCACTTGGGCCAGGAGACTAATCATGGGATGCTATTTATAGTGTATTTAAGGAAAGTCAGAGAGAGCATTAGAATAACATTCAGAATGTAAAACATGTTATAGCCTTAACATAGTGTCACTATTATAACTTAATGAAAACAGAAAACTAGGAACCTTCTCTATTAGCAGGTGTCACCTTTTTTTTTTTTTTTGTTAGTGTGTCTACTCTCCAGTGAAAAAGTTATTAAATATATGTGAGACTCCAATCCAGAGAGCAACTGTCCAGCTCAGTTATTGGTGGGGTAATAGATTAGAAAGTTTCACCTCCTCCTTCTCCTCACAGCTGCCCCGCACACATGCGCACACACACAGAGGCCAGGAAACTCTACGCCTAGAGCACCTACCTTGGGTTTGAAGGCGATTAATTTCAGGACCATCTCAACAGTGAAGAGGCCAGTGAAGAGCATGTTGAGGATATTCATGGCTTCCTTGAACATGCAGCTCTGACCGTAGTGCTGAAAAATAGCATCCCGGCAGCAGTATGAGGAATGGACACACCAGCTAGTTAGAAATCCAGAGGGCCCCTCCTCACCTCCCTTCATGTTGAGGTTCTCTGAAGAAAACCCCAGCATGCTCCATTTGTTCAATTTAGAATTCCCATCTCCCTTCACATATAAGCATTTCCATACCTCTAGTAATTTTTGCCATCTGGCTCTGGATCTCCTATCTTTTAAAAAAAATCTTTCTGAGTGGGGATTACCAAAATCACACTTATCATTCCAGTTGAGGGCTCATTATAAATTTGCATAATGGTACAAGACAGTTGCCAATTGTGTTTGTTATCTCACCTTTCCATAACACTTGGATTACTTTTTTGTTTGATTGCTACTGCACAGGGAACAGGGGTTTCATTGAGCTGTTCATAATGATACCAAGCCATTCCCCAAGTAATTACACTTAATTCAGGATTCTGCAAAGTACATGAGCAGCTCAAATCATATCTTTCCAATATGCATTATCTTGCATTTGTCAACTCTGAATTAAATTTGCAATCATGCTGCCCATTCACTTAACTTTATTAAGATCTTATGAAGTTACTCTCTGTCTTCCATTAATTAATTCAAATAGTGTCTTCTGCAAATGTTGCCACCTCACTCTTCATATCCCTATTTCCAGATCGTTATACTTGAGACTGATTGCACTGCCTTATTCTAAGGTCATCTTCCAGGTCATAAGACCCCATTTGTAGCTGCTTAACTTTGAAAAATTTTAACCAGCTGGGATGAATTTTCATATTCTGCATTGGCTCAGGGTAATCTATTTAAAGGAGTTTCAGTTAAAACAATTCAGCTGCAGCTGAAAGCCAGGCCAGGGAAAAATATATTGTTGAGGCGTTTTCAAAATTTCTTGTAACATTTTCCTTGAAAGACTCTAGTATCTGCAGGACTCTGCTTAAAAACTTGGAATTTTACTGGACTGTTGCTTTTGTGTTTGCTGTCCCTTACGTTGTTTGATCCAAATCTGGCCACAGTATAAGCCTTTGAAAAACTGTACTTTTCTCAAGATGGACATAGACTTCCTAGAATCTCCAGAGATGCTGTGCTGCCCGTGGGCTCACAAACATCTCACAGCTTCTAGCCCTACCTGCCCTGGGTATGCACCATTGTCACAGCAACTGAGCATGCTTCAAAGCTTCAGAGTGAACACAATAGTCCCTTTCCATTGCTTCATGACAGCAGGGCAGTAGATACTTAGCTAAGAGCAGAGCACTTTGTTGTGCTCATGCTGCCTCACTCCTTTGTTGGCACCTTACGCAAGACAGCGGAGGAAGCCTTTTCAATGGGGGTGGTAAAGAGCTAGACCAGATGAAGAAAAATTAGAGGGGGTCAAGAAATCTGGTGAGATTGGACTGGAGGCACTGAAAGAAAATAAGGTAAAAGCTGACTGTGAATACAGACTTAGACTGTTAATGAGTGACAGGAAACTGAGGCTAGTTTTGAGGGGAGGCTGGGAGTGGGGCAGACTGGGATTGATCCAGTGGAAAATGTAGTGGTGGGATGCTAAGGTCAAAAGGGAAGTTGGTGTAGGAGTGCATGGAGAGTTGGACTCACAGTAAGGGACAAACCAGAGAAGGGAAAAAAGTTCAGTAGGCAATCAAATGGAAAGGGCAGAGACAGACCAGAAAGGAGGTCCTTGGAGGGGTAACTGCAGCTGGGAGTCTGTGTAGAGAGGAGAAGAGAAGGACAGGTTGAGGGGTGGGGATCTGGACTGTCTGGGCCACAGACCAGGGAAGGGAGTTCAGAGTCTGACTGGGTGAGGAGGAAGGATGGGTTTCAGGGAGGAGAGTGATGGGAAGACTAGCTCTTAAGCAGACAGAGTGTAGAAGGGAATGGGGCTCAAGTGGCCAAGGAAACTGGGAGTGCGGAGACAGGCTTAGCAGGTGGAGTCTGGGACTAACTGAAAACGGAAGGGAGGTGAGGGAGGCCTTGGGCAGAGACAGACTGGAAGGAACAAGCCAGGAAAGTACAGATTTAGGGAAATGTACAGAACTGTGTGTGTCTATGAGGGCCCACTTCCTGACTGAAAGGAACGTAAGACTTCTTTTTTGTAAGCTGGCTAATTAGTAAAGGTTTTGACTCCTTCCCCTTTACTGCTATTCCACCTGCACACGTTAATCTACTACCTCTGTTTGCTATTCTTGTAGATCCAGCTGCAAATGTTTCTTTGGTGGATTCATATTAGCTGTCTAGAAAAACTTCACATAGTAAGGAAAATGAACGCGCAGCTTAGCGGGTAGTAAGGCAATCAGTAGCACCAGTAATGAAGCAAGTTAGGCAAACACCTATCAAGAAATGTTTTAGGTGGAGCTGATCCAGCCTTTAGGTGATGGGATAGACAATATGGCCTCTAGAGGTTCTTTCTAGACAGTTTCTATGGTTCTTAACACAGAATAAAGGAGATACTAGGGCCTTCCTACCCTCTATCCCCAGTTTCCTTGATTGCCTTGTTTGCCAAAATACTTGCTCTCTACTTTTTAGCACAGAAAAGCCCAACATTTAAGATTCAGATCTCAGATGAGTGGCAGTTCCAGGCTTATCCCTGCATTTCATAGAAGACAAGTCAGAATTGAGAAGTCACTTGTTATTATAGTGGCCACTGAATTGGTCTGTGATATAACTGTTGGGTTTTTTCACTTGTTTGTTTTTAAGGAGTTAAAACAGAATTGTTGATGGTGTCAGGTATTAGCAGGAAGAGGAGGAGAGGCAGATTCCTCATTTTAACTAAATGTCACCAGGAATGAACATGGTACAATGGTTTTTATCATGTCCCTACCCCTCTCCCTCAATATATGGTGTGAAGGTGAAAGTAGGTCTCAGCCTCCTCCATTTCTGCATTTTCCCCAACAAAGTCTAATAATTTATCACCTGTAAGGTTTTCTGCTTGCTTACTTACTTGCATGGCCAGGCAGATGGTAAAAAAAAATCAGCAGGATCAGAACGAACATCAGGTATTCAAAATAGGTGGAGTTGACCACATACCAAACTTTATACTGGTACTGGTTTTTAGGGATGTATCTCCGCAGGGGCCGGGCCTTCAGGGCATATTCTACACACTGGCGCTGTGAAAGAGGCAGGGTAGATTTAAAAATGAGAAACAAAATACAGAGTTCGTCAGCTACTTCCAAATATAATAAAAACACAACGTGTTTCAAGTTTTTTACTGAAATGAAAATGCTTGGTAGAAGAATTTCTTCTAGGTCATAATCTGAATGTGTATATTCTACCTGTTGAAGAGTTCCATAAGCATTTACTCTGGCCAGACAATGCTGCCATGCTCATCTAATCTCAGTGAACCAAATGGTACAGCACACATTTTTAAGTAAATGTTGTCCCTTGAGCAAATCTTACAGCATGATTTTTTTTACCTGACTCCTGAAAGATGGCAGTGAAGGCAGCTTAGTGTTTTATCTTGTTGGCAATCTTCTCATGTTCCTCTCCCAATGTATGTATTTCTCTCTTAAATGCTTACTGTCAATGTATTTTCTATCTTTGGTGGCAACGAGTTGTTGTAAATTACCTGGTTTTTGTCCAGCTCACAGTTCTTGTACTCCTGTTCTCCTTGTTCCTGAAATGTGACGATGACGAAACCAACGAAGATGTTCATCATGAAGAAAGCAATGATGATGATGTAGATAATAAAGAAGATGGAGATCTCAACCCTGTGATTATAGATGGGTCCCACATCCTCCATGTGGGAATCAATGGACCTATACAGCAACCTGAAAGCAAACAGGAGCCCAATGCAGAGAAAATCTGCAACTGCCTTGAGGCCTTATAGGTGATGTTATAAAGTTTAACTTTGTAATTTTCTTTTACTTGCATCAAAATTACTTCATTCACAGATGCACAGACTTGCACTGATCCGAGTGTAAACTCTTGCAAAAGAGAAGACATGGCTCTTACTAACTTTACACATTTGAACCTGTTCAGGGGTGAAATGTTTTCACAGTTGAACAATTAAAATTTAAAACAAAAGCATGCCCTTCAGTTAACAGAAGACAAGAGAGTCTGTGTTGTTGGGAACTGAGTTTTGTGAGAAAACTGGATCTTAGTACTTTTAACATTTGTTAACACTGCTGTTGGCATCACCTGGTGACACAGTTCAGGGTCAACCTCCTGATACCCTGCATGCCCATGTCACTCTGTCAGAGTGGAGCTGTGAGAGTCCTTGGCCCCTGTGACACAGACAGCAAAACCTGGTAAGACATCCCATGCCTGCCCGTACTGCAGAGACAGAACTGCTGTGTTTCATATTGCCCCGCTGGCTCCATCGCAAAACTTGCAACACCTAGCAATACGGGTAAAGTGCCTGACAGGCATTCTATATACATTTATATACATAATATTTGTAACAAATATTGCTATCACTGCTACTACTGGCAATCATTTTTTAAGAGCTAGAGACAGTGCTGTGCACTGTTTACAAGTACAGGAACAGCAATTCCTGCAGGCCCTGAGGAATTTACAAAGTACATAATACTACAATGACTGCTGCTACTATTGCTACATTTAATGCTTTAGACTTATTTAAATACTCAGAATGGGAAAGACTATGCTCTGTGTTTGAATTTTCTCTTTTGAAATGAATGAGGACATTGCTAGTGTTGCACTGGCCCACGAAGCACTCACTCTGGCCAGCCCTCAAAGGTTGAGACAGTGAAGAGGGCCATCATGGCAGTCAAGACGTTGTCAAAGTCAAACTTGCTGTTCTCCCAGCTCCGGGGCTGTATCATTGGCTGGTTGACCTCACCATCCTTGTATGTAATGTAGTACCCTCTGTGGATGGAGAGCAGAGAGAGAACATGGCAGAACTGCACTTCCAGTACGAGGCCCTGAGAGTGGGTGGCCAGTGAAGGGGGCAAACTGGGAAAGGTCATACTCACCTGCATTCTGCTGCCGTCTGCTTGGAGCTATCAGTGCAGCTGTACAGCTTGCCCTTGAAAAGGAAGAAAGAGGAATGAAGCTTCCTTTCCTGACAGTGCAAGGGTTAGGGCAGATCATGTAGCAAGGAGACTGCATTTACTACTTGCTTAACCAACTATGAGTATGTTTACATGCTCTTTTGCAGGTAGATGCAAACTGGGTTGAGAGTTGCCTGTGTCTGGGTAGTTCAGAGCACAGGCTTTCATCTGCTTGCACAGTACTTTTATGTGTATGTCCTGAGGTACATGACCACTAAGTGCTGCAGAACATTAGTTGTCAGAAGGGTGGTGAAGGGCAAAGAAATAAAAGCAGACATAAAGAAGTGAATGAATAACCTCCCATGATTATCTGGTATGCCCTTTCCTTTACAAGATGGGGGGTAGACAGTCTGAAAGTACCAATCCTTTAGAACAGCCCCCTTCACCTCCTTGGCACTAAGTCATGCCACAGGCTAAAAGAAGAAGGTTACTGATGTTACTGATGATTTCTTACAACTACAGATGAAGGGCAGGAGTTCTGAATATGCCTGGTCCAGTTTTGGGGAACTCCTGGTAGCAGGAGCCCAGGTAACACTGACAGTGCCCCAAATGTTTTCTCTTTCACACAGAAGATTCCATTTTCCTTTCCTCAGGCTCCTTCATGATATTTTTCTTCCCACCACTGAATACAGCTCAGTGTAATGGATGAATGAATGGGCCCAATGGTTTTACCTTAAACAACTGAACTCCAATGCAGGCAAACATGAACTGCAGCAAAGTGGTAACAATCACAATGTTTCCGATGGTTCGGATGGCGACAAACACACACTGGACCACATGCTGCAAATGGAAGATAGGAACAAAAGTAACTTGCAGGTTTGTTCTGAGCTTCTCTGGCTAAGGGAGAAGACCAAGACTAAAAATACAAATAAAAGAATTTCATTTAACTATTGCCCATTAAGTAACGTCTCAGGAAAGGGGAGAGAGGACCAACTTGTTATGTTCCTCACTGTACTCTTAGAAGCAGGCAGAAAGGGATAGGAAAATACCAGAGGTCAGCTCTCTGAAACTTCCAGCAACACTGACTTACATAGTTGGGCACCCACCAGCCCACAGGAAGGAGTTTATCTAATACAGCAAGGCTATGTTAAAACAGGCTTGTAAGCCCGTCTATAACCCTAGCAAACTACATCATTTAACCTCAGTGGTGATGCTGGGTCACCCAGCTGGAAAGCAGCTTGGCAGAAAAGGACCTGGGGATCCTGGTGGACACCAAGTTGAACATGAGCCCTCGCTGCAAAGAAGGCGAATGGTATCCTGGGCTGTATTAGGCAAAGTACTTCCAGCAGGTTGAGGGAGGTGATCCTTCCCCTCTACTCAGCACTGGTGAGGCCACACCTGGAGTACTATGTCCAGTTCTGGGCTCCTCAGTACAAGAGAGCCATGGAGGTACTGGAGGAAGTCCAGTGAAGGGCCACACAGATGATTAAGGGACTGGAGCATGCCCCTGATGAGGTAAGGCTGAGAGAGCTGGGACTGTTTGGTCTATAGAAGAGAAAGCTTGAAGGAATCTTGTGTTAATGTATATAAATACCTGAAGGAAGGGTGCAAAGAAGACAGAGCCAGGCTCTTTTCAGTGGTGCCCACTGACAGGACAAGAGGCAACAGGCTCAAACTGAAACACAGGAGGTTCATCTGAACATTGGGAAACACTTTTTTACTGTGAGGGTGACTGAGCACTCGCACAGGTTGCTCAGAGAGATTGTGGTGTCTCCTTCCTTGGAGATATTCAAAAGCCACCTGGACATGGTCCTGGGCAACCTGCTCTCAGTGGCCTTGCTTGAGCAGGGTTGTTGGACAAGACAACCTCTAGAGGTCCCTTCCAACCTCAACCATTCTGTGATTCTGCTGAAACACTACCTGAACCATTGAAAAAGTCCTTGTAGCTTGAAATAGCTTGAATTTATAGTTTTCGGAATGTATTATGAATCCTCTAACCTTTAGTCCTTTGGCTCTGTTGATGGCCCTCAGTGGTCTAAGCACTCGCAGAACACGCAGAATCTTCACCACATTGATAGCACTGGATCTGAAAGAAAGTATTGGAAGGTTTGAGAGATACCACAATATAGGGGGTGTGCTGCAAGGGCAGATGAATTTCACCCACTCTTTCTTGTTTGAAATCCTACATAGCCTTAGACTGCTTAGGATAGTTAGAGAGTCAACAATTTGCTACGGCACTTCAGGGGTAAGGAACTACTCTCTGATGTTATCTTCATAGGCCTTGCTTCCTGCTCTGGGCAGGCTCAGTATTACATTCTCCTGGCTTTCACCATCTTTGCTGTATTAATGAAGGGAATGGAACATGGGCAGGTTATTTTTTTAAGCAGGGCAAGCTGCCAAATACTCTGTAGGTATATAATGGAAATTGTGCCAAGACGTAGTCATCACGAGACATTTTCAGATAAGGCTCAAAGAAGCACTTCACTGAAATATTCACAGCAGAGTGGAAACTCCAGGTGACTCCAGCATTAAAGGTATACTCTCCACCTGGACTTTGATCCTGCAATGTGTTTGGCCTCTGATCCCACAAATCAATTAAGTGTGTACATAAATTTAAGGATGTGGAAACTCCTACTGAATTGATTAGCATGACTTATGTACTTAATTTTAAGTACTGAACACAACTATCTACTACAACAGAGCTCTCTGCATCTTCCAAGACTAAAACCCTGGCTGAAAATCTTCTCCATGCTGTATGACATCAAGCCCTCCCACTGATTTTGGGAACAGTTTTTTTGCTAATGTATTAAGAGTCTGGTTAGTTCTGTAAGAAAGAAACAGCAGGTCAAAATGAGCACTGTGCCATTCTTAAGACCTTGACTGAAAGCCCAATGGACCTGAGAAATCCTTCTGCTTGACTTAGATCTGGAACATAACATACGCAAATTGCTAACCTCTAATGGGAATAATTGGGAGCTTATTTCTTATCAGATGCTATACTATTTAGGAAACTCCTCATCCAACACATTGAGTTCCACATATTCAAGTAAATCTATAAATTTATTAAGCAAATTAACAGATCAAGCAACACAAAGTGGCGCAACAGGAGCAGGATCAACTATCACTGCCACCAGTACTCTGGAGATTCTCACACAGCTCTTCAAGAGCTTGATGGTTTTCCATTGACCAAGACCCACAACATCTTAGGAAGCAGCAAAACATTGCCATTCCATTTTCCAAAGACCTTATGAGAGCTCTAGGAGGGAACAGTAAGTCGCTTAACTGTCCTGGACTGATACAGTGAATCAGAGAGCTTGGAACAAAGCTAAGTGTCATGATTCCCAATGAACCAAGTTTCTTGTTCTCTTTTGCTCTTTCTGGAAGATCCCCCCCTCGAGGTCACTACTGTAGCATTTATGAGGATGAATTTTAATGGTCTTGAATCATCTGAGAAAAATACCTCCAGGCTCATAAGAAAAATCTTACCCAGATAAGACAATGAGACTGAGGTATCACCTCCCAACCCGGCCCTATGATCCCCAAAAAATAGCCAGTTGAAAATAGCTCACTCACTGGATCCCAAAAGAGATGAGAGAAACGCTGACCACCAGGAGGTCTAAGATGTTGAAATAGTTTCTGCAGAAGGAGCCCTTATGGAGGAAAGCCCCGTATGCGGTCATCTGCAGGAAGGCACATGAAGACACAAGCACACTTTGCCATTAGCATGTGTTCAGGAACCAAACCCATCTGGTTGTGCTCAGAGCATATAATTGGGGAGGGGCAGTATTTCTAACATAGCAGGCAATTTACCCCCAGACCCCAAAGGAGAAGTTGAGTCCCCATTGAAAGAAAAGAGAGTGAAGAAGACAGTAAGATAACTATGAAAGACTAGGGAAAGCCAATACTAGGTTCAGTGAGAAAAATACGCACTTTGAGTGTATAGAGCACATAACATTTAGAATCAGCAAAGCAGCAGAATGACTGCTTGCAAAAACTACTCTTTGCAGTCATCTGCTTTTCCCTTTTTCTTCAATGGCAGAGGACATTTGTGAGTATGACACTTGTATTATATAAAGGCCTCTTTAGCTAAATTGAATTAAAAATACATTAAAAAAAGGCCCCTTTTGTAATGTTTTTCAGTGCTTAGACCAGCTGCCATGGACAGTTGAGCTCTCTTCCCTCCATGAAGAAAAAACAGAATTCTTCAGGGACTTGATGGTTTAGAGCTGAACTGAAGGAACAGGAGGAATTTCTGCTCTCTTTAGTTTGCTCCTTCTGTTCAGCTCAATTCTCTACCCCTTTTCCTACCCCTATCCAGCTTCCTCCATTTTTATTCTAGAAGCAGTTGCATTTTCCCCTTGGTTTTCCTCACACAGCCCAAGGTAAGATTCCACAAGACCGAGTGGTTTCTTTGTGGAGGTAATCATTATGAACATCACCCAGTAGAGGATGGGAAAGATTTTACATATTTTACAAGGGACTCTCTTCCCCTTCTGGGTATGAAGGAGTACTGAATATCTGCTGGTGTTGGGGAGGGTGTCACAGCTCCAGATTAAGTGACAGTGTAAACAGAAATGGGTCTCAGCCACAATGTCAGACCTAAACACTTCTGAGCTCAGAATTTGAATTTTAGACTGAGCTCAGTTACAGAATGTGACTAAATGAGTCTGGTGTGGTTACAGAGTGTGAGGTGATGGGGGTATTCGTACCACATACCTTAGACTCGGTGAGTGATCTAAAGTAGCTGCTTTGAAGAAACCCCATCCCCACAAATGCTAATCTCCCTCCATTACCTGGGTTAGGAACACAGGCTTCTAAATTTGGTCCTCCGTATCTCATATAAGTTAGATGTCTAACATAACTTGAAGCAGACTCCATGAGACTGTTCCTCAATGACGAGCTCTAGTCAGACTCCCAGCTGAGAAGTGTGGACTAGAAATTCAAACTGGAATTTTCTAGCTTGCGCTAATAGCTCAGGATGGCATACCTGCTAGTGGTTTCCAGCCATGCCTACCTGTGACAACTTTATTCAGAGGAGGGTGGAAAGGCACATGGTATATTAGATTATTGTTTTCACCAAACATCCATGACATCAGGGAACTGACTGTCAGTCAGTCAGACAACTTAGAAGGGGAGGAAGTATAAACTCTGGTCTTGGCTTAGAATTTATACTTACAGACACATTCAATTAGGGAAGGGGGGAGGGATTCTTGCCATAACAAAGGTGGTAAAAGTGCCCTTTACTGGTTAGATTTTGTATGGCAATCTTGAAAGAAAGGAGACACCATTGAAATCAGGAGGGGAAGCTCTGCTGAGTCTAAGTTCTATACAAACTATGGTTCTCTCAAGCCTGTTGAGAGATCTTGTTATCTCAGAAGAGACTCTCAAAGAGTGTATAATCTATGCCTGCCTCCCATCTGGGGCACTGAACAAGCTTTTAGGATGCCAATTAAAAAAACCTGGTGGTCACCTTGCTAACATTCACCAGACTCCACCCATGGCAGTGTGAGGCTGGCAGGTGTCATCAGCAACATGAGGGCAGATGAACCTTGTTTCTCTACAGCCTTGAATGGCCATTTATTCTTTTGTTTCTTACCATTTACACTAATTTTGCTGTTACGCAAAACATTGTGCACAGTGCAAGGCAGCAGAGAAACACGCCCTGAGAAACCAAGCAACTTGTGAGGCAGGAACTGACAGGGTAAGAACAGAAGAATTTCTTAAACATTTGTAGGCCTTGCACTCTTCTCCCACTTGAACCCAGAGAATATCCAGGGGTGTTGACATAAATCCACTGAAGTTAACAGGAGGACATCGGGAAGGCTCAGGTACTATGCAGTACACTCCCCTGATGAAAACAGAACAATACGCCAGTGGGTTGGGTTAGGTTCTGCTTCCACTGAAGTCATTACGAGTGTTACCGTTTGCTTCAGTGGGAGCAGAATTAGTAATTGTAAGTTCAAACAGGTGCCTTGAACTACAGTTTTATTGTTAAATGTTGCTGTTGAGATGTTTTCCTTTTTTGACAGGCCTTTTTGATCAGCCATTTGGTATGTGCATGTTCAGATTTATTGTGTAAACACAGATGCACACTGCACAGAAGCATAAAACGTACACCTCTGTGGAGAACATTATGGCTTTGGTGATTTTAAGTCATATCAGAAAGCACATTTCTCTACAAAAATATGCAGGGGCCACCCTGCTTGCCAGCATTCAGCATTGATACTGTTATTAGGGTCTTGAGCTGTGAGATTTGAGCAACTCTAAGGTACTGCCTGCCAGCACTTAGAACTAGCTTGCTGAGAAAAAAATCCAAGCTGCCAAGTGAACCTAGCATTTAGAAAGCTAGAACTTTGCTCAATTGCTGTTATTTAAATTATTAGCCTACCAATTTGGGAAAATTAGAGTTAAGAACAAGGCAGCCTATTTTTATTTTCTTCTGAGCTAAACCATTCCCCTGCACATTTCCCTTGGTATAGAGCATGTTCCTGGGAAACGGGAAGCTGGGTTTCAAACAGGCGATGCAGCAATTTTCATTTGCAGCTACAGTCCTTGGTGTTTCAGTGATTTGTACTCTTGGTTACCTCTCCACACGTAAAAAGTGAGCTTCTGCACTGCGCTCCCTGTCTCCTACTTGACTGTGCACCTTGTAACCTTACAGAAGTCATCGGCCGCCCTCTGGCCCAGCCTCATGACTTGTGCAGAATGGAGACCTTCTCTTTGGGTTGCCGCACGTGTAAGAGGAGGTGTATGTGCTCAGGGTTCCTTGCACAGAAAACAAATCCTCTTTTGGAAAGATTGGCCAGGGCAGAGAGAGAAATTTATGGGGTGATGGCCTTTTTCTTCGTCCCCTCTTACTTTTTCCCTACAGGATCATCCCTTCATTGCGAATCTCCTAAGAAGCATTGTTTTGATATAGGCTCTGAATTACAAGTTTAACTATCAAAATTTCACAGAAGACTTTTTAAGCAACTACCAAAACGATAAAATGAAAAGATAAACAATCCTTAGTGTCGAGATAATAATGGGTAAAAAAAAAAAAAAACAGAAAAAGAGAGCGATAGAGAGAAAGACAGGAAAAGAGAGCGATAAAGAAAGAGAGAGAGAAAGAAAGGAAAGAAAGAAAGGAGAAAACAAGTGTATTGCTCAGATTTGTTACCTTAAGAATAATTTCTAATGTAAAGATACTAGTGAAGACATAGTCTGCATTGCCTAGGATCTGAAAAATAAGCACAATCGGGTTAGTGGTACTGAATGTGACCCAGGAACAAACAGGCGTGTGTGTGTTAGCAACAGATAGTGGCAGAAAACTAGTAAGCTTGTGAACATGTAATGGTAGAGAAGATGGGCACTTTACCTTCAGAGCAATTTCAATGGTGAAAATGACAGTAAAAACTATATCAAAATAAAAGAGAATCTGTAAAAACAAAAGGGAATAGGAGCAGGGAGGGTAGACCAGTGACTGATCACTTGAATGGGAAATCACAGTTCAAAATCAAATACATATGCCTTTTAACAAGGGAACAAGGAGGACTATATAGCAAATGGTTTTGTAACAACGTCCTGTTGAATGCAATGAAGGTACTGGCGCAGAGGACAAGAAGCACATTACATGAAATCTTTTCTGAGTTACAATCCCATGAGGGCTCTAGAGGCAAAATAACATTTTGGTTGTTGTTGTAGGATTTTCTTCAGCTTTTTTTTTTTTTTTTTTTTTTTTTTTTAAATCTGATAAAGAACAGACAATTAAAGGGTTTTCCCAAATAGACTTCCTAACTGAGAATACAAGGATGCCTGATTTCTCAGTGGAAAACATGAGATTCCTTCTTATTAACTTACATTCTGGCTTGTCTGTGCCTCTTGCAAAGGAAGAAAAGCAAACTGCAAATTCATGCTCTAGCACTTTTTTTCTCTACCCTGATTTGGCCTGGATTAGCATGAATAACAAAGACTCTGCCAATTGAACAGAATCCCAGCTCTTGTATTGCAACCATAATTTAGTTGTGTGCTAAAGGTGCCTAATTTAAATCTTGCATCTTTCTATTGGCACCCTGGATAACAGGCAAGCTGAAACACTCATCATTCCCATGAACTTAGACCTAGTGATGGGGATACTGCTGGCATGCATAACAGGCCACAAAAAGTGGCCCTAGAGTGTCACAGAAGGCAACAGCAAGTCTGGAAGCGTAAAGTGATTTTCAAAGTAACAGCATCAATGACAGAAACGTCTTTTGATCAGTTGACATCCCACAAAAGCTAATGGGAACTTTCTCATTGACTAATGGGACCAGAATTGAACTCTCTTTGTTTCCAACGTATTCCAGTATCCCAAGCCATTTTAGTGTTATCTACACTACAAATGGTGAAAATCAAAAGTATCATGCCCTTGGATTACTGTTCTTTTAGCTTAACCAAGTTCTAAACCGGAAGGTCAATATATGGAAGCTGTAGAAAACTGATCGTTTGTGAAATTTAAATCTTTACTGCTAAAACACTAATAAACATAGAGCAGTAAACTGTCCTCTCCCGTCCCACAGGTGTTTATTGTATCTCAATGCCCATACCCTAACTCAGATTTATAGGTGGCTAGATTCTGACAGCATGGTATGCCATGGGCAGTGGGGTAGCTACTGCAAACTACAGGGTTATTTTAGATTGCACTATTTAAGCATGAGCCGAATCTGGACTGATTTGCAGACACTGAATGTCAAATAGGGGGATGTATCACTTACTGCTACTGTGTAACTTAAAATTCTTCAGGTCACTGCTCAATTTTTGACCCCAAGTTGTTCTCGCTTCTTCAAGGCTGTCTTGGGCTCTATCAGTTTTTGCAACTTAGAGAATTCAAAAAGGGCCATTTCAAGGATGGACAGATCTCAATTGCATCCTATATTAATTTACACACATTATAACTGGAAATGTCCCCTTGCATTGCTGCCTTGTAGGTCCTGACATTTGGTTATTATATCAACAGAATAATTTTATAATCAATGGGTCAGATTCATGGGTACTCTCAGGCTGCTTTGCATGACTCCACCAACATAAAGCAGCCGTAAACTTGATTAAAGTAGATGATTAAGCTGTACCTGCAGCTGCTTTACATCACCAGAGCACTGCAAAGCAGCTAGAGCATACTGGTGAATCTGGCCCCAAAGCTGCAGCTAGTAAAGACGTCTCTTATAGATGAAATCATGCTTAATGAAAATGATCACTGCTCCACCTGTACAGGCAGTATCATTTATCAGCAGGCATATTTATTATTATCTAAATATGAATTTACTCTAGAATATATTAAAATGAATGAGCACCTTGCCAAGGTGCAAACAGGAGAATGTTGTGAGCGCATAAAGTCTTAGGACTTGCTTGCGCTTTAAAGGCTGTTAGATCAGGCTGGAGAAGCACTTCAAAATACTTGCTGCCTGAGCCCTGTGTGACACAAGAAAGACAAAGATGCCGCCGCTAGCCCACGCCGGAACAGAAGCAGCGTCCAAGTCTCTTTGCTAGCCCATGCTGGAGGGTGTTCTTTCTGTTTCTGTCTTCCTGCCCTGGGACAGTTTGCGTCAACAGCAGCACTAGTCTGCACGAGTCCTTGTGCAAAGGTTAATGCCTGATTATATTGTCCCAGAGGGAAGGTAAAGGCAGTTGGTTTGCTTTCAGCTTTCTTTCTTTCTTTCTTTCTTTCCCTCCCAGGCCTCTGTGTGGGCACAGGGCAGGACACAATCTTACTGTTCTACTGTCAAAGCGTAAAGGCAGACCACATTTGCAACCCAAACATCTTGTCTGTGTCCCCTTGTATGATACATTTTAAACATCTGTACCTGCAAAAATTAAACACAGATTTTCATGCAGCATCAGTGGCTTCAAAAACACAAGACAACAATTTGCTCCAAACCTTCAGCCCTTTTATCCAGGACAACTAGCTTTGACTACTTTTTTTTCTCATTTAAATGTCTCTGCTACAGATTCTGCAGCAGCTTCTGTGGCATGTCAGAAGCCCATATGCCAGCTGACATCATGCTGCAGTGCTAATACATATTGACATACGTTTATCCCTACATGGTGGGCACACTCACACGTGTACTAGTGGGTCATTGGAGGCACAGGTTTGATTGTGTTATTTAGCACCCTACTTCAGGACAAAATGGAAAGCAGCTCTGAGATAAGCTCAGGAATAAACCTCCATTAACACCTTCTCTGCACGCACATATGTGTTTAAATGCATGCTCGGGTCAGGATATTTCAGGGAGGTAGAACACTGAGCATTAAATTAAGGTTTTATTATTAAACAACAACAAAAAATTGTCCGACTCTTTAAGCCTAGCAAGCTCTTCCAGCATAATGGCACCAAAATGCCATTGCAGACAGCAGAGATCAGAAGTCTCACATATGACTACTGACTCTTCTGATTTCTGCAATGACCCCAGATTAACGGAAACAATCACTGGGAAAGTTAAGGGAGCACTGAACGTTTCAAAAGGCTAATCAGAATGGTCAGGAAAGAAGGTGAGAATGTATCTCCGTGCTGAACGCCTTCCTCTTCTCCCCCCAGGCTGGTAAGGAGAGGAGCACAGCATATTTTCTGAGGATTATCTCAAATTTAATGATAGCTTTGCAGTTTACATTCAAATAGCCTGATTCTAACCTTGATGACACCAATTTCCCCCAGAGTGACTGCATCAAACTCAAGAATGTTACTCCTGATTTACACCAGTGTGAACAAAGTAAAAATCAGGCCCTGAACTTTTTAGTTCAAAAGAAAGCACGCGACAGGAGAACCTGCAAATAATTAGAATTATCTGTATCCCAATCAATGTTTCTACAGACCATTTCTAATGCCTTAATCCCAGGGAACAATAATTTCGCTTCATCCTCCTGTCCTTCCTTGCCCTGCACATGCTTCTGAAATGAATTAGAGGCCAAATTCTGCACTGACTCATGTTCCCTGCAAAGCCCAATGATTTCACACGCAGCCTACAAAAGCACAAATCAGGGAAGAGAGTCACTCCCAAAGCCTCTGATGCAGTCTTTTCTGCCTTTCCTGGCTTCAACTCATGATCTGTTTGTACCACACTTTCAATACACAGCGAGGGAAGGAGGATGGGAAGCATACTTGGTTCCTAAAGGAGAGGTGTCGGACGGGGTCCTCAGCTGCCAGGGAGATGCTGCTGAGCAAGATGAAAAATAGGATCAGGTTGGTGAAAATGTTATCGTTAACGATTCGATGGCAGTGCACACGAAACCTGCAAGAGAGAGGAGAGGAATAACTTTATCTCTCAGAAAACAGCAAGACCTGGGAAACATTCCCCCCTCCTTTTTTGCCAGCAGGACTGGCCCCGGAGGACTGTTCTGCAGAGCAGCTTCCCCCTGTCTCAGCAGCAGGGAGATCGATGGGCCCAGGCAGCTGTGCTTGGCCCTGCTGGGTGCTGGGCAGCCTTGGCTCTCCACGTCATGCAGTGATGCACACAGAGTGATTGGCTGCCTGCAGGACTCACGCTTGGTGCGTTTGAATGGAGAACAGTCACTCCCTCGTGACGGAGCCTTTTGTGATTTAGATGTGGTCTGAAACCTGCCAACCCAAAATTATATCCCTTGCTTTCATTCACAGAAACATTCCCCATTCATTTAGGGGGAAAAGCAGTAGAAACAGGCTCCGGGGTGGCCGATGTCTTTCTGAACTGGGACTGGAGTGTCACTGAGCAGGAGTAATGGGGGAGCTACCTTGCTAACAGCACACAAATCTGGCCAAATGGATACAGGGCATGCTGGCATTTGCAAAGGGCTTCTGGGAGGACATCGTGCCATGCAGGGCATCTCCTAAACATCACTGTAATATAAAGCGCTTGGTGCTCTTAGTGGGAAACTAGTAAGTAAACAAGTAGCAGTCTCCCATCAAACAGCAGTGTATTTACTGGAGACCATTACAGCACCTTCCATACACTGTTATCAGGATACGAGGAGTTAAACCTCATAACAGTCCTATGCATAATTCTAGAGGCACTTCATTAATCTATTTAGCTCTACTTTTGGCTGTTAAGCCTCCAAGCCACTATTACAGCAATTTTACAGATGATTGCAGAGGTTAATTTACTTCTTCAACAAGCGACAGTGGGTGGGTGGCAAAGCTGGCATTAGAGTCCATGAGTCCCAATTATCATCAGTCCCTCCCTGTTGCACATACCCAGGGAGGAGTGGCACTAGCCCTGCTGTGGAAAGACTGCCTCTGAATTCAGATGTACTTCTAGAGCCCTGCCTTACTTTGGGGCTGTGTTTGGAGGCCAATTCCCCAATGTGGAGGAGAGATGGTATTGCACAGACCACTGGGCAGTGAGCTCACTTCTGCACCCTTGGAAAGATATATTCCCCTGTGTCATAGCTCAGCCTGCCACTCACAGTATTGGTCTCACACATCCGTGTAGGAAAGACAGGTAGGGCAATGTGAAGCCACACTGCAGGAGCCAAAGGGAAAAGTGTGAGAGAAGAATTAATCTTCTCAGTCTCCCCTCAGAGCTATGGACCCTCATCCTCCTCCCTTTTCTTGTATGCTCGTCCTTGACGCGTAAGAATGAGCAGAGACACGTGAACTCCCTACTGGGAGTGGATTTTGAGCAGCCATTAGGACAGGAAGCTCCTACCTCACACTTGACTGATTGCATGATGGCTTGCTTGCCATTTGGACCTGAATATGTTGAGAAATTCCAATTACTGACTTGCCTCCAAGTCCCTTATTTCTGAAGCTTTCATGATTTGTGTCTTCAATCAGCCTTGCAGGTGCCATGAACTCCCACTGAATAATGTTAGGGGGTTCCCTACTGTTGTGCTTTCATGAGGATTTCATGCCAGGGCCTTTAAAGGAGTGACCAGTCAAAGGAGGTCTCTGATATCAACTGCTAGAAGGGAGCTCTACACCACATAACCTGTGGGGCCCAGCATGGAAGGGGTACCTGCTCTCCGCCTCCTTGTTCCAGCTAAGCAGTCTCTTAAATACCTGTTGTTAGGACTGAAGATGAAAAAAGCACTGGCATCAGGCATGGGCACAGCCTTTTCCTTGAGGTGCAGCTCAGACATGGGGCGAGGCCGAGGGCCGACAGGCATCTCAGGTTCTTCCTCATCTTCCTCTGCTGCAAGAAGCATTTTTGTCTTTTAATGCAAAACACAACCCATTCTGAAGTGCTGGGGCATTTGTCTCTGTCATAACTAGAAATAAAAACTAAGAATTATTGAAATAGGATGATGAAAGCTTGAGGTTCCTTGTCCACTTCCTTTCTCCAAGGCAGCATCCACTGCCCAGTGCTTGCCCTGGCAGACATTGATCTAGTCTCTCTGTAAAACCATTAATGCTGTACATGCACAATATCCTCACAATGGTCTCCTCAGATGGTTCACTGTCCCTCCTACAAAAAAAGCTTCTTCTGATGACTGACTTGAACCTTTCTTGCTATGGTCTAAATCCATTACCTATTCTTATTTTCCATGGACACAGAAAACGGAGAATTCCCTTCCTCTTGCAGAAGGCTTTTACATACTTGAGAACCATTATTATGCCTCTGCGAGGATTTCTGGTTTCTAGAGCAAAACGACAACAGTCTTTCCTGAGGTGCTGTGTTCCTTAGGTCTCTGATCATTCTCACTACTTTCTTTCAGATTACCTGCAGGATTAACCTGCAGTTGAGTTTCTACTGGTGCAGTGGAGAGCTGGATTACTTCTTATATCTTACAATACTATCTTCCTGTTTAAATGTCCTTCATAGGCACTTCTTTTCATTACACTCTGGCATTAATTTGCCATCAGTTGCTGATTTGCACAAAGCACAGGTTATTTACCACAGAACGGCTGCCTAGCCTGTCACTCCCCTCTTTGCATTTGTGCTGCTGATTATTCCCAAGAGTGGCACTTCGACTTCATCCTTATTGAACTGCATCTTATTTTCTTCAGACCATTCCTCCAGTTCATCAAGATCTGCTTTTCTCCTCTTTGGAAGGCTCTCCATGGAGCCACTGCCACATCTGGGATTGTGTCTGGATGAGCACATGTATGCTCCAGAGCAAACATGGAGCATGGGCACTTTGACTTACACCAATCAGAAATTCTTAAAATTGTCCCCTTTCATAGTTCAGTGGGAGGAAGATTGAAAAGAGGGGAAGAAGGCTGAGACTCTTGAACCTGATGCCTATGGAGCAGATCTCCAGGCACTGTGCAGATCAGTGAGCACCCTCAAGGAATAAAAGACAGAGATGCGGGCTAAGTGGTATGTGAAAGAGAACCTTCCACCTTTGAGGATTTCTTCTACCTGCTGAAGTCAGATGCTGTTTTGTAAATGACATGATAAGATTTTGCTATTTTAAAGATCCCAATCCTCTCACTTAATCAGCAAGACAGGAAAAAATATTTTAAGAAAGGAGCCTGACAGGTTAGATGCAACTGATTCATCTTCCAGCCAATGCAAAGGAGGAAACTCTCATTAAAAGGTTTATCTTGAGTCCATAAAGTGAGGTAAATTCCAGAAAGAGTCTGTTCCTTTAGGGTCAGGTACTGTACTTGATTTGATAACGGACACATCAGGAAGAACAGATGAATCAGCACAGATCCTAATCTAGATGTCAGAGACAGGAGAAAAGTGGCCTTTTCAATGCATGCCATTATTGCATGCAAATAGGATTCTTTCTTTACACTTCTAGTAGCAAGAGTTCAGCTCAAATTCACTTCATAGATTTTTGGATAGATGTTTGAGCTGGTACATAGAGTTTGTACTTTTTAAGACAGTCTATTTTTTAACAGCTCAATTTTATGTTGTAATATACTTTATAATGCTCTTTCTACAGGCTTTATTAGTTAAAGAAACATTCTTTCAGAAGTACTTTTGTGCATAGTACTTGTAAAACTGGTGTTAATGCTCATATTTATATAATATTACAATACTTTGCACTTGCACCTTTTATCTACAGATTTCAGAGTGGGCTGACAACGAGTGAGGTAAAGAAATTATTTTTCTTCTTTAACAGTCCAGAATACTGATGCCCATGATCACATAGGGTATTTGAGAGAGTGAGTACTAGTATGCTGAATAGTATTCTAGACTAGTATTCTGAGTCCCTGCTCTGTGCCTTCACTATTAGATCATTCTTTTTCTTTTACTTGGAGGAATGCTTAATAAAACACTTTCAAATGGTTATGGAGCAACATCTCAGGAAAACGGACTCCTAGCAGAAGGATCAACCCCATAAAGACCGTAAAGAACACTGTTCCTCTCCTCTTTTTCTTGTGTCTGCCATACAGCAAGGAATATATTAATGACTCTGGCAACCAGATACCTTCAGACTGGAAAACACATTCAGTTCCTCAGCCATAGATAATGTTCTAAATATTTTTCATTTAAAGTAGGGTCTAGGGCACAGAAGAAAGGAAACACTGAGGCCCAAATACGCAAAGAATAATATCATTACAGCCTTAGCTCAGGTCACTACCTAAGCTATCTTCCTGCATATAGAAACAGTATGTTGCACAGTTGCCAGCATTCCTAGAAGCAAAGGTCAACATGGTATTCACAGATGGGCTGGGCAGCACATCGGCTGCAATCCAACACTCGTTCTTTGACTGTTTTCTATACCTAAGGTATATTTATGTTTAAAAAGTGACCCTTCTAGTCAAGCTTGCCATGAAATCATAAAGAAACATGACTCAGAGCTGCCAAGTTCAGATCTAGGTTTGAACTCTTCTAAAGTTCAAGGAAATTCAAATCTGGGACTGTCATCTTGACTTGTCATCTTCATTAGAATGGTGATGTCCTTTGGTTGTGAAGCTGTAAGCACACACAGGCTACAGTGCAGCATCAGTGAGAAATTCGATGATGAGGATTTTTTTTTTTTTTACTGTACAAAGACCAGAACTCTTGTGTAAGGACATTGCTTTGCTTCAACCTCCCATGAATCATCCCAAGCTTTTACCTTCATCTGACGTTCTGAATTCTTTGTCTGTTTCTGTACTAGACTGCAAGACTAGTTCCCTGTCTTCCTATAATAAACATATCATCATAATAATCCTTCTAGTGTATACAAATCTCTGCAAGAATTAGTCTCTCCTTCCAACAAAGAGGATAGGTAATCTGATGAGCTGCAAGTACACAGAGTATTTTGGGGGCTAAGAGCAACACTGTGTAGCAAATAGAGTCAGAAGAGGTTATTGAGAAAGCTGGTTGAAGCAGCAGAAACAAATAGGAGATTGAGCAACGTAGGTTGAAAGAATAAAGGGAAAACAAATGAAGTGACCATTTCAGATTGTTTCTGAACACTGGGTTAGGGTGAAGGATGTTTTCACAGGATGGAATAGTACGCAGCCATGGAAAGGTCACATGCATTAACAGCTTAAATCATAAACAGAAAATAGGTAGAACCAGCTGACTGCATCTAAGAAGCAATAGGATGCTTCACTCAAAGCACAGCTGAAATAGATCCACATGCAAGTGGGCAAGAAAAGGTGTGTTCCGAGATGGGCCGTATATGGCTGCACAGCATCTCCTGTACCACAGCTGGACCCATCAGCAATCAGCAGAAGGATTCTGGACTGGTCAGATGGCCACAAGGGAACGGGACAGGTGTACGTGTGGGTACTGGGAAATTCTTTCTTGCTAATGCCAAGGAAAGACTTGGAGCCTTGTTCCCCAAAACTGACAAGGCAGATATGACATGCCACATCACCTCTGAGAGGGCCTGAGTGTTTCTGAGCTTTATACGGCAAAATGGAATAGATGACTATGGTAAATATGCTGTAACAAGGGATTTACAAAACTTTACTGCATCTGAGTCATGGTTGATTTTCATGAACTCTAAAAGAAGTGGTCAGGTAATTTTGTGAACTGTTAGAGATCAACTTCACTCTTCACAAAGAATTGATACACAATTTAGAGAACAGGCCTAGTTAGAAACAGCATCATACAATGGCAAATAACCAAGATGCTGTTCCTTTGCATTTCTAATAGGAGACCGGACAAAACCCGACCATCCATTCAAATTTTAGGTTCTGTTCAAAAGTATGCCAAGCCAGGGATTGGCACCCCAAGGCAGGAGGAATTAAAAGTGTTTTTACTTAATTTTCTGCACTCTAATCCTATGCATGGCTGCAGATAAAATGTCCATGACACAAACTGTAGATGTAGTTTTTGTCGTATAGTTCACACGCCGGACTATTTCTAAGCTATCCGCAGAAGGTAACTAAAACACAATTCTATTATCAGTAGGCTGAAATTTGATATGCAGGTGACTGTACCTTCACTTGAAAAAAATGTAACGGTCTGCAAATCCAAGCCAGCTGTTTTAATCTGTGCTTCTGACTAAAGACTCCCACAAACCCCTTAGCAACTGGGGATGTGTGTCCAATAAGTGCCTGTGCCTATAGAGGTGCTGGGAAGATTAAAGACGGAGTGATCTGCCCCAGGCAATGTTAAAACAGTATTGCATGGTGTTGAAACCACACTCTATTCCTGATAAGTGTGCTATAAACATGGATGAATACAAGAATAGCAAATGTGGGCATTTTTTGTACTGAAAATCAAATGCAATGAACAGTTTTCCTTTTTGCTTGTCTGAAACCCTTGCCCATCTATTTAAAATGAACTATTGTGTCTTTTTTTACCCTATCACATCAACCTATTATCAGGCATTTATTAGGAATCATAGAATTGAAGACAATGTGTTTTATTACCTATTACAGCCTGTTACATAATCATAGAAATGCAGCAGAGCAGGAAAGGATCACAAAAGGCCCTCTGGTTCATGCCTCTGCTAAACCAGGATCAACTAATTATTATACCTAAGCCTTTTCTGGCAGATATTTTTCTGACCTGTTCTTAACAACATTCAGTGATGCTGGGCTTCCACAGCCATCTTCACGATCTTTTCTAGCCTCACCATCAGAAAATTCTCCCCTGGTGTGAATCTTAAATCTGTTACTTCTTCATAATGGAGATCATTCCCCTCCTACCTGTAACAGGCTTTCATGCATTTGAAGATATTTCTCCTGCCTTTCCCAGCTCAAGTGACCACAATTCTTTCAATCTTAGTTCTTGCTTCCTACTAGCATTGTTTTCACCATGCGCTTCTAATTTCCTTCCAGGTCAGCCCCACTTCTCCTAAGCAGAGCACCCAAAATGACATATGATATCCCAGCTGAGATCTTATCCATGGTGAACAGAATAAAACAATTGCTTTGCTCTGGTTAGCTTTCACTGATCAGTTAGAAGAAACCCATAACTGGACTAAGGGTCATGTTTTCACTGTTTATAAATCTCACTACTTGCTTGCCTTTTGGAAGACAGCAAAATGTTGTTGGCACCTGTTGAGTTTGTGATCACAAGATTCAGATTCTTTTCTCAAGGACTGTTACCTAACTAGCTGTCACCTAAGATCCTTTATTTGTGAGTTGTTTATTCCTGTCTACGTGTAGAGCCTGGCACTTTCAGTTTTATTTAGACCATTTATCCAGTTCCTCAAAAGCTCTTTGAATTCTAATGCTGCCCTCCAGCATGCTTCCTGTCCTTCCTAGCTTCACACCATCTGCAAATGTAATAAGCATATTTCCTCTTCCATCATTCAGGTCATTAACAATGAACTGAACTGAACTCGGGACAGGCCCTTGGGTTGTAGAACCTCATTTGGGCCATCATTACTCTCCACATAAAGGGTCTGATCAACTTCTCTCCCAATCGTCTAGACCATGTTTTTCTAGCCAGCTTATAAGAATGTTACAAGAGACAGTCAGAAGCCTTAGCAAAACTAAAGAATATGACATCTACTTCTTTTCTCCCATCTACAAGTCTTGTCAGCCCCTTTTAGAAGAAAATAAGGGTGGTTTGATGTGATTTGTTCTTGGCAAATCTATGTTGGCTAGTTATCTTCTTATCTTGCAGTCATATAGTTTGTTTAATCATTTGTTCCAGCACTTTTCCAAGAATGGAAGTTGAACTGACTAGCTTATAATTCTTCTGCTCCAACCCCACCCCCCATTCAGGATCTCTTGAAGAAAAACTACTTGAAGTTCTGAGATTTCTTCAGCCAATCTTTTAAGTATCTGAGGATGAAGTTACTTAGGTCCAACTGTCTTGAAGACTAGCCTAACTAATGATCTAGCTTGTTTTTTCCAATTATAGGCTGAGATCTTATGCCTTTAGAATTATGTTAATAAGTCACACTGTGTTTTTTGATTAGAAAAAAGTGCAAAAAGGCATTCAGCACTTTGGCTTTCATGAGTATCTGTTGTGAGTCTCCCCTGACTGCTGAGTACTGAGAAAAGGGACTGAAAACAGTCATGTGTATATTTTCATATACAGACATTTGTATATAATTTGATTTGGTTCTCTGTAAAGCTCTGTATTTCCAAATATACCAATCAGTATAGGGACTGCAAAGGACCAAGTCCACACCTGTGCAAACACAGGCAAGCACATCATCCTGTCCCATCATGAAAGCATTACATGTTCAGCATATCTGTTATCACAATTTGGCTTTATGTGCATTAGCAACTGGAGCTTCTCTTTGTCGAATCAGGGCTAAGAGGAAGAAGATACATACCTGGTGCTTCTGTTGTAGGATATGGGCTCTTTTCTTCGTTTTCATTGGGCTGATAATCATCCACGTTGATCTGACAGAAATGGAAGAGAACCAAAGCCTTTATCAGACAAGGCAGAGGGTTTTCATTCCCTCAGAAACTCAAGCTGTTCATGCCATCACTGCACAGAGAGCGCTGGCTGGCAGCAGACCTTACCTTGGTAGCAGGCGGGGATTCTCCATCAGCAGTGATCGATTTCAGCTCAATTTTCTCCTCCTTTGTCTCCTCCTCCACAGCTGTTTTTTCTATCTCCTGTTTCTTTTCAGGACTAGCAGTCCTAACAATTTTACAAGATAAAAAGCAAAGAGTTGCAAAGGTGAAAAGCTGTTTCCCTTTCAGGAACTTCACGTAGTACAGCACACACCATGAGAACGATCAGTTGCCTGGCACCTCCATTCTGAGTCCAGCTTACATACCAGCAGCTCCGCCTTGTCCTCATCTGCAGGCAAAGGCAGAGACTCTGCTCTAATTCTATAGAGTATCCTTTTATTATATAGCTTTCTCAATGCCATGAGTTTGTGTGTGTGGGTGGGTGGGTGCATGTACATGTGGAGGAAGTATGTGCCTGTGTGTTTCTGCACATGCGTATTCTAGGTCTGTCAGTAGAGATCTCTTTGTTCACCCAATGACAAAGGCATGAACCATTTTCAGCCCATATCTTGTGGACTTCCACTAGGTTGCATACAAGGTTTTGCCCCTCGCAGCACTCCCAGAGCCAGGGAAACCTGCTGACTAGCATACAGGATGAAGCAGATAGATCTGCACAAGAGATCCCATCCAAGCATCCTGGAAGACAGTGAGTAGAAATAACCAGTAAAGGAGAGGCTTCCCCACTGTAGGCAGCTGGGAATGACAGAGAAGCTCTAAATCTAGCTTGTGCCTCCTCAGAGTCTGCAGAAACACTCAAAGAACTGGCAAGAGAAGAACAGCATGTGGCATCAAAAGAGAAGGAAGCTGCTGAATCTTGTGGGGGGAATGACGGTCTGAAAATATGCCTTGTGGTCCAAAGCAATCAGAAGGTAACAGGGAGATTCAAATGGGATTGTGGCATTGACACCATTTCACACTCATTCTCTGCTGATGCCCTGAAAGCTCATCAGTCACCCAGACTTCCTTTCTTCTGCTCACATCATTGCAACTGTAAGGACTCCCAGCTCATGACACCTTCTTGTCCTTTAGTTTGAATTCTTTTCCATAAAAATTTATATATACATAATTCCATATATAATTACATTAATCACATATATATAATCTATACACACCCACACAGAAGTTATATATTACATATACACACATACTTACTTGCACATATATGTGTAATGTGTGTAATTATATTCACAGGAATGCGTGCATGTGAGTGTAAATCATAGAATCATAGAATCGTTAAGGTTGGAAAAGACCCTTAAGGTCATCGAGTCTAACCGTTAACCTAGCACTGCCAAGTCCACCACTAAACCATGTCCTCAAGCACCACATCAAAACATCTTTTAAATACCTTCCAGGGATGCAGACTCAACCACTTCCCTGGGCAGCCTGTTCCAATGCTTGACCACCCTTTCGGTGAAGAAGTTTTTCCTAATATCCAACCTAAACCTCCCCTGGCGCAGCTTGAGGCCGTTTCCTCTCGTCCTATCACTTGTTACTTGGCAGAAGAGACTGACCCCCACCTCGCTACAACCTCCTTTCAGGTAGTTGTAGAGAGCAATAAGGTCTCCCCTCAGCCTTCTCTTCTCCAGGCTAAACAGTCCCAGCTCCCTCAGCCGCCCCTCGTATGACCTGTTCTCTAGACCCTTCTCCAGCTTTGTTGCCCTTCTCTGGACATGCTCCAGCATCTCAATGTCCTTCTTGTACTGGGGGGCCCAAAACTAAACACACTCCTCAAGGTGCAGCCTCATCAGTGCCAAGTACAGGGGCATTATCACCTCTCTGGTCCTGCTGGCCACGCTATTCTTGATACAAGCCAGGATGCCATTGGCCCTTTTGGCCACCTGAGCACACTGCTGGCTCATGTTGAGGCAGCTGTCAACCAACACCCCCAGGTCCTTTTCTGCCAGGCAGCTCTCCACCCACTCTTCCCCAAGCCTGTAGCATTGCATGGGGTTGCTGTGACCCAACTGCAGGACCTGGCGCTGAGCCTTGTTGAATCTCATACAGTTGGCCCCGGCGCAACGATCCAGCCTGTCCAGGTCCCTCTGTAGGGCCTTCCTGCCCTCCAGCAGATCAACACTTCCACCCAACTTGGTGTCATCTGCATAGGTGTATGCAAATGGATTTACCTAGCTAGCTTTTTCCTTTCTTTTTCCTCTTCCTCCTCTTTCTGTGCAGACGTTAAACTCTCAGCATCAGCAAGGTTGTCCACGGCAATGGCCAAAAATACATAAAAAAAATTGTGTGCTACTTAAAGAAAATGGACTTTGAAAACTGCAGAACAACATTATACCAAAGGTTTCTTAATTGAAATTTTTTAGCAACCTGTCATCAGATCTCTTGTATTTTCCAAACTTCCATTTCACATAAATGTTCAGGGTGTGCATATACAGCATGCACAAACCTACACCTTCCATCCAAATGGCTAACACACTGTGTGGGGTTTCCAAAATTTCACAACAGAATGACTGATAAAACATCTAAGTCCAGACTTATATTTTAGTTTCCGATTTCCCAAACGAGTCTAACTTTGTGCAACAAATCCCACTGAAGATAAGGGAGCGCTGAATGCTTTGCATCTTTGACAGCTTAGGTCACTTTTTTTAAGACATTTATATTCAAGAATCTCATACCATAAGGAACCTGCGCTTTCCATTTTTCGTCTATGTACTTGAGTTGAACAACCTCATTATAGGTATTCCCACAGACATGAGTGGATTTTATGGACAGCGAGCATAGCACTCTCATTAGCATTTCTGAGGCAACCAAAAAGAAATTGATTTAGTCTGGGCATTGAAGGGTTGAGCTTACAACTCTGCCATCTCCTAGCAGAGAGTCCATGCATGGCCAGTCATGCCCATGTAGCTGAAGGGCAAGGAATCACAACTGTTTTCTTGTCTTGCCAGTCAGCGTTCAGATCTCATGTTACAAATATGAACACCAGCTTCTTTTATAAATTTCTTGAGAGTGGGTCTTATTACTCCGTGATAACTTTTACGTAAACCCCAGTTCAAGGCTTAGTCTGGAAATACAGCCACCCCCCTCCCTGGGCTCCAAGGTCTAATGGCTCCAAAGTCAGCCAGCATGTAGAGCTGGCTCACGTTTTCCTCTGCAGTTCACAAGGAGATCCAAATTGTAGCTTTTTTAAGCTGGAAGGCAGACTGCCTACCTCGACCTTCAGATAAGTGGAATTGCACCATCTCACTTTGAAGAGAGGGCATGCAGGTCAACTGAAATGTCAAATACCAGGGTTTGAGAGATCTGAGTTATGAGGAAAGGCCAGAAGAGCTGGGCTGAGACTACAAGGTGGCTTTATAGAAGAATCAGTATAAAAAGAAATGTCTCCTCTGACACAGGAAGGCCATTTATTAAGGAAGCAGAAACTAAACATGAACAAATTTGGAGCAAACTTAGATATGGAACAGAACCACAGCTCTGTGTTATATGCAAATTCCTGTGAAAAGACACTCACAGCCTAATCATGCAATGTGCTTTGTGCCTCCTCGGATATGTACAGTGCCCTCACTTCACCTTGAAGCCAGAGAGAACTGAAGTTACTTAACACCAGCACAGGCTGGAAGATAACAGAGCATGCGATTTTCTGTTTGAAGAACACATAGATTGCAGTAACTGAAATGGAACACAGTTCCTGTTAGTTTATACATGAATTAATATATGATCTCACATAAATCAATTATGTCAAACATATGTTACTCCTGTTACAGCATTTGTATATAGCATATTGTAGATTATACATATTTTTATTCCACATAAGGCTTGGATGAAAGCACATGAAATATATTACTGAAAGCAATTAAAGCAAAAATATGCAGTAAGTCCAGCAGGTACACACAGAGATTAGTTTCTGGAGGAGGCAGGAAAGAAAAACCTACGAGAGAATTAAGGGGAATGAAAAATAAAAACACTAAACATGTAAAGATACTAAATAAAAGCTAGCATGCGGACCTGGCATGCAGCTGGCTCTTACATCTGTTTATATGCCTTAGCACTAGTTAAAATTAAACAAACTTGTTTAACTTTTGGCAGTGCAAAGCCAAAATTCAGACCTAGGGAAAAGGTAAAAATGTAAGGTATTAAATTCATTATTTTCTGACATAACAAAGTAGTAAAGGGTGGCTTTAAATTCAGCCCCACTTGGGGAAAAGAGTAGCATCAAAGGATACAGTTTCCACAGATGAAGAGGATGATGAAGTAAATACAGACCAACATTCCTGGAAAAGAGGGGCCGCCATAAGCCATGATCCCATCATACATCACCGAATTCCAGTCCTCCCCAGTCAGGATCTAAATGACACATTCCCACCAATACAGTGTTAGACCACACAGAGAATTTGAAAACCCCATTAACACAAAGATATCTACTATCCTAGAGAGCACCCCCTCCCCCAGGATGGTTGGAGATTCTGGCTGTGTCCATCTAGAAAATTAAAAAAAACAAAACAGAACAAGGAGAATGCAAAGAGGGCCTGTGCTCAAAGTGTAAAAAAACCCCCAGATGTCCCCTTGAAGATGATGGCTGAGGCCAAACGTCTCTCCCAGACAGCTCTGCTGAAGTCTCCCCACCTCTCACAGGCAGTTTGCTCCCACATGTCTGTTGTTTCAGACAGGCTCCACAACCTATAGCACTGAAGACATCCCTCAGCACAGCCCTCCCTGCCACTTCCCTTCACCTTGCACATGAAATCATGATGCTGATGCTCTCAGCTGACCACTCCCAAAACTGCAGTCAGCTTAAAGGCCATTTGATTACTTCTCTGGTGTTGTGAGCAGATACTTGTGCTCCAGTAGTGTGGGAGGGGGAAGAACAACTGCAGGGTTGGGCTTTGGCATGCAGGTGCTGCCCTGGGACATGGCAATGGCCATTCTCTTGTCCTACCCTGCTAAGACCTGGTGGCCTTGCTACACACAGGGGCCGTAGCCTTGGTTCCCCACTTTGGGAGGGAATACCCCTCTGCTGGCAGCACAGCATGGTGCCTTGCTTGTGGAGCTGTTAGCCTGATGTCCAGTCTTGGGGACTGTCTGGCTGCAGGGAAAGGATGCAGGACCTGATCTCTGTTTCGCCCCACATAAACACAACATGTTGGCCCCATTGGGACCACTCTTGCCCTTACCTGAAACACAGTGAGGAGGGACTGGGGGAAGTTGTCGAATGTACTCCTCCTGGTCTGCATCTCATCAAAGTTAAACTTGCCCCCAAAGAGCTGCATCCCCAGGAGTGAGAATATGATAATGAAGAGGAAGAGAAGCAGCAACAGGGAGGCAATGGAGCGAACTGAATTCAGGAGTGAAGCCACAAGGTTACTCAGGGAGTTCCAGTATCTGGGAGAGAAAATAGAGGCAGTTAAAATTCCTTCAATCCAAGACAGGTCCTCACGGACTGCACAGGATATTGGTTCAGGCTGCCTTCTGCGTATAAGGAGGCATTTCCAAACACCCTGTTAAGCAGTGAATCATTGATGTGCTTCCCTAAGATAATGAGAGCTACTGCAGCTAATGAGTAATTTTACTACCACACGTGTACATACACAATTCCCTCCACCCCCCACCCCATATGCACACCCAGAAGATTATTGCTGCACTCTCCATCTAAGGCTCTGCAAATCTTGTATCAATATACGGTGATTAGTTCTTGCTGCTTCAGTGAGTTACATTCTCACCAACCTCATTACAACAGTCACAGATGTTATGGCAGCCAGAATACCTCACTCCAGAGAATGGCCTGTAATAACTAACAAGAGCAGATGGGTAAACAGTTTGGATGCAAATACAAACTTGTCCAAAATCTGGTGTATGTAAGTATGTGCTTGGGCTCACTCATAGATAGAGGTTCCTAAGCTTTCCTGGATTGAGAGGAATGAGAAAAATATTAAAGGTCCCCTTACATGGACCCTAAAAGAGACTCCAGATCTGCACCCATAAAGTCCAGAGTTTCACAGAATTATAGAATCGTCAAGGTTGGAAAAGACCCTTAAGATCATCGAGTCCAACCGTTAACCTATCACTGCCAAGTTCATCTATACCATGTCTTCAAGCACCCTATCTATCTGTTCTTTAAATACCTCCAGGGATAGAGACTCAACCACTTCCCTGGGCAGCCTGTTCCAATGCTTGACCACCCTCTCGGTGAAGAAGTTTTTCCTAATATCTAACCTGCTCTTGGAAGAGCACACCATCACTGCTTTTTTGGGTATCAAACCCACTATACTTCCTCAAACAGGCTGCAGAACACTTTGGAAGGGCTTCATTCAAGAGAGAGGATGGCTAAGACCTGTTCTCCCAGTGTATTCAGGCTTGTGCCCATACCAGACTGATGTATCATGCAGAGAAAGGATCTTCTTGCCCTTGAGGTCCCACTTTAGGGTTCAAAGAGATGCCAGCAGCATGCTCTGCTGCAGCATGTCAGTTTGCTTGCATTCTTTGCCAGCCTGCAGAGTAGCCATGTGTTGGAAAAAGGCTTTAGAAAAAATTTCTAAAGAATCCACCACATCACCCTTGAAGGAACTTCCATGTCGATCTTGCATCTGCTCAACCACTCCTAGTCTACTGCTTAGCTGGTCATGACCATTTCTCTTTTATGCAGTTTTGAGTCTGGCAGAGCTTTAAGACTGGGCTGAAGATTAGCTGTCATCTTCCAATCACCTCATTTTGAATGCACATTACTAGCAAGCTTCAACAGATTTCACAGGTCAGCAAGCCAGTAATGTTTGCCTGTGATCTCTAAGTCTTCCTTCTAGCACCATCTCTTGTGGCCTACCACCATGCTTGGAGATTCCACCATAGCCAATGTCCTCCAATCCCTTCTCCCAAAGCCCATAATATTGAACCTTTCTTTTCTTAGAGGACTCTGAATTTCTAACCATATTTTCCTCAGAGACAAAAGTTCCACTTGAGAAGGATGGCAGACATGTCTAATGCTCTCGGTCCTTTGAGGAAAATCCTTTAACATACAAATCTGTTCTGAAGGTACTATAGTCATTAGAGACAAGGGTTCTTAAAATCCCAGTTAAATTAATATTTTTAAAATGTCAGTGTAAAAAGATGACATTCCTTGTCCCGTGGAAGACAGGAATGTTTGAGCAGCCCAATCACTTTATGAAGGTTAGCCATCTGATCTGCAGGGGGACAGCGCCATGTCCTCTGAAGTTCAGCAACTGGTTCATCTCCAAGGGCTGAGCTTCAAAGAGAACTGTGATGTTTTCCCTTCAGCCCAGCTTCAGCACTTCAGAGAAAACTAGAATGCTTTAAAGTTTAACTGCAATTAAAGAGATGAGCAATGAAAAACTACAGAGCAAAGGTAAGGGCATGGAAGCTGTGGGCTTAGTGCCACCAAATGTCCGCGCTGAACGTGTAATGTAACAGCTCGCTGTATCTGCGTTGATGCTTACAGCTCACATACTTTCACACTTTGGGAGGAAGGGAAAGTGACACAGGAAAAGGGGAAAATTCATTTCTGATGAAACTTGACTGGCTTTAGCATCCTTAAACCAGAAACTCATGGGGTCCAGAATATCTCTCCAAGCCCTCCAATGTCAGCCAGGACACACATTTTCTAGGTCTTTCTAGCAGTGCCCTTAAGAGGCATACAGTAGAGCTGTTACCCATCTAAATACTCCCAGTGACTCACTTTAAGCTTATTAAATGCCTTGCTATCTCAGAGCACAACTGCACAGACTTTTATCAGCTCTGTATTTCTTACAAATGGCTCAGTACCTGAGATTCAGTTTCTTATGTAACTATCAAACTTAAAGCAATTAATGGAGATGACCTGGTGATAAGATTAGTGCTGTTTTATCTGTGCACTGAGTGCTAGCTAGAAATACAGCACCATTAGAAAAGTAAACAAACCAATCAGGGGGAAAAAAAAGAGAAAAAGGAAAAAGGAGAGGATAAGGAAGGCTTGACTTGACTGGGATGTGAAAATCCCAATTGTCTTGTCTTAGTGTCCTAGAAGCCTGAACTGTTACCATCTGTCACATGAGGTGGTTGCACAAATAACATGAACACCCTCTCAAAGTGAGATCTGGGGTTACTCAATGAAACACAAGACTTTTAAGTCAGGAATGGATGAAGCTCAGACAAAGAAAAAAAGTCTCTCTCACTACTTTGTCCTCTTTGGTTAATATACTACAAAAAAACCCAGTTACAATAAATCTGATGGCATTGTTGGATAGAATCAGAAGGTTCGGACCAAGCAGCATATAATGGGAGGTATGAGAGGAAGCACTGCTGCTTCCTCAGACTTATAGGGAAATGAATGTGCTTCTTAACATCTCCCACTTGCAGATCTCAGACCCTTGAGGATGCCAGTGAATGAGGCACTGCAAAACCCCAGTGAGTAGGACGTGATTATGATCCCTGTTTCAAAATGGACAAATGATGCAGAGAAGTTAAATGGTTAGTTCAACATCTCACACAAAAATCAATTACAGAACTGGATTAAAACTTAATGTATTCTTTTATTCTCTTCCGTCTCCTCTTCATTGCCTTCCACTATGTCTTTATGATACTGGCAATCACAGATGCAGAGCTTAAAACAGCAGCAACAGCTGGCAGTCTTATTGTAGAAAAGCTTCCCACAGTGTTCATCCAATATAAAACCACTTTGAAAGCAGGTACACAAAAAAAGGTGCCCTGTCTCTACTCCCTACAGTTAACAGTGACATATCTAGTGGCAGGATTAGGTATAAAATATCAAATTTCAGTATGCTGTTGCAAATAAATTTATTTTTTAAGTATAAAGGACTAAATATAGGGATTTATAAAGCAGTAAATGATGATTTATAAAGAGAAAATAATTTGTCTTCTCATAGCAAAGGGAGATTTTCTGCAGAGCCCTGTAAAAATTAGGGAGAATAAACCAAACAGTTTATATTGTCTGCTTATTGAATGTACAAGACTAAATGATTCTGAAGAGTATTCATAATTTTGGAAGAAATATTTGCTCTTGAAATTCTAAATGTGGTTTCTAAAATGATGTGTTGTTCCTCAGATGGTGTCTTTATTTGTTTCTATTATATTAGGGAGCTGCATTTGTGTTATTCCTAGAAGCGTATCATCTTGACACACCCAGAATTTGTTTGTGCTTGGTGTTTACCATGGAAAATCCATACAAATACATAAAGATCAGGTTACCTACTGATACACTCTCATCAGAGTAACTTTCCTGCTTTGTGCCTTTTTAATGCCCTTGATTATCACTATTTCCAGCTCCACTGTATGTCCCCATGTCACTGCTCATGACTATATATTTGACATAAAACATTACACTATCATCCCTCCTACCCTTCCCAGCTTTCTAGGATTGTATCTTTCTGTATTATCATTGCACTAAGGTGGAGTAGTCCACCAGTATTGATAATGACGTCAATAAATCATCGTTGTATTTAGAACTGAGTGAATAATGGAAAAATATGTATTTTACTGGAGAACTTCAGAGGTAAAAGTTTTGCCTTAATGCCAGCATATTCTCTCCTGCAGTAAGACATGAGTGGGCCTAAAACACTGCTTTGGAGGCTTGTGCTAGGGCCTTCCACATGAGGGTGAACTTCACCCACGGAGGGGAAAAATCATGAAGAAAATTATGAATAATTAAAAAACACAGATAAATCTGAGACTACTGCAACCTACTTGCCAATATTTTAGGAACGGGAAAGAAGGCAAAATCTGATTAATACATTATTCATTATGAGTTATTCCTCAGCTCTGTGCTTTACACATAGACCCCTGTACAAATTGCAGGAGATGTATTCCAGGTAACATTTGCTTCCATGCAAAATTGTATTTTAGTTCTGCTGCAGAATGAAGGTAAATATAACTAGTCCTACTGCTGGTTGGTTCCAACATTACATCTCTGCCAGAAGCTTTAGGAATATTTGAGTACTCCAATAGCTCAAGCTTCCTAAAGTATTAATGATATTCTCTCAGCATTTGCCTTTCTATTAGAGAATTCTCTTAGCTAGATTATATATTTTGTGTAGAAGTGGAGAAATGTCTTGAAAAAACAATGACCTCTCCAGGATGCTATGTTGAAGCTTATGCTTTTATAGCTATTGGTATGTTGCCCTGGGTGTATCTGATTACCCAATGCCTGAAACAGCTACTGGTTTCCTCAGAAACCAGGCCTGGAACTCAGTGATGATAGCTTTCAGACCCAAAGATCCAGGAAAAACAGTCACCAGACCAGAGATCCCCACTATTTCTGAAAGGGCAAAGATGCCTTTCTTGCTGGAAACTTGTTAGCTGGGACATTTTTCCCTCTTCTATGATCACACGTCTAAACAGACCACCTTTTTTTCTTTTTTAATAGTTGTAGGCTTGCTTCGGCCTCTCTCTCTCAGACTGTAAAATGATTTTCTGTCTCCGCCATCTGACCTTGAAAACAACCCACCCTGCCAGAGCACTGAGGCTCAGAAGCTTTAAGGGTAAATCTTGTATGATGCACAAGTCCAAGTCTGTTGTTTTTTCTGCCTTACAGCTCTGCCATCTTGACTGTCTTCCAGTTTTGGTCTTGTTTTTCTCATGTGCTGTGTTTTTTATCTCAAATTTGTCAGAAATTTCCTCTGGGGGAGTTTATAGCAATTCTAGGGACATATTCGTAGCTGAGCTTGCAGAAAATACACTCTTTAACACACTCAGTCCAGC